CTCCCTGATGGCTGTTGATGTAAATTCAGTATTTGTTATACCACCTGTAGCTCCCTGATGGCTGTTGATGTAAATTCAGTATTTGTTATACTACCTGTAGTTCCGTGATGGCTGTTAATGAAAATTCAGTATTTGTTATACCACCTGTAGTTCCCTGGTGGCTGTTGATGTAAATTCAGTATTTGTTATACCACCTGTAGTTCCCTGATGGCTGTTGATGTAAATTCAGTATTTGTTATACTACCTGTAGTTCCCTGATGGCTGTTGATGAAAATTCAGTATTTGTTATACCACCTGTAGTTCCCTGGTGGCTGTTGATGTAAATTCAGTATTTGTTATACTACCTGTAGTTCCCTGATGGCTGCTGATGAAAATTCAGTATTTGTTATACTACCTGTAGTTCCCTGGTGGCTGCTGATGAAAATTCAGTATTTGTTATACCACCTGTAGTTCCCTGGTGGCTGTTGATGAAAATTCAGTATTTGTTATACCACCTGTAGTTCCCTGGTGGCTGTTGATGTAAATTCAGTATTTGTTATACCACCTGTAGTTCCCTGGTGGTGGTTGATGGCAGGAGTTAAAGCGCTATAATTTAAGGGTTGATTCACGCAGCGTAAACAATGCATTTCGCTCACTTCTCAGCTCTCTGTACTGAAACAAAAAACATATATAGAAGCTTATCACATATTCTGATCATCAACGTTTTATTTTCTCTGTTCACACACATATACATATATTAATATGTGGATGTTTTATCTTTTTTATCCAGTTTTATCAGGTTCTGTGAATAATGAATGGAACTATGCATTACTTTACTTCCTAGTCCTTGATATGAAAATCTAATCAGGATTTTCACTTAAAATCGCACTACGTTGATCTCCGCCTTTCCGGTTTTATTTTTGTTAATTTCACACCATTATGTTCACCACGATATTAAAGTTGATTCCCCAGAAGTCTTAGATTACGTAATACTTGAGCTTCTTTTCACAGACATATTTTATAGTTGGATCTTTGTTTGAATTCATTAAACAACTTTTACAGATTTACCGTCTCTATGAATACTTCTTATTGTCATGAAAGTTGATTAAATTTTAGGTAAATAAAAAAAGAATTCTCGCTTGTCTTGCTAAAGCGAAACAATTGTGCGATATTTATATAACCGAATACATTCAATTATATATATACCAAGATTTCAAAACTTGGCAGAAAAGTATATTGAAATGTAATTAATCATAAATCTATAGTTTAGGTTATTTATCTCGGCCTCGTGCTCTGCCAGGCTGAAACTAGTCAAAATTCTGAACTAATCACAATCCTGTAGTTTAAGTTATTTATCTTCGTGTTATACTTGATATTGGTTGAAGTTTATTATCAATAATACATTGTTTCTGTTCTTTTGTCAACTCTTGATATTGGTTGAAAGTTATTATCAATAATGCATTGTTTCTGATCTTTTGTCAACACCTGATATTGGTTGATTATCAATAATGCATTGTTTCTGTTCTTTTGTCAACCCTTGATATTGGTTGAAGATTATTATCAATAATCCATTGTTTCTGTTCTTTTGTCAACCCTTGATATTGGTTGAAGATTATTATCAATAACACATTGTTTCTGTTCTTTTGTCAACCCTTGATATTGGTTGAAGATTATTATCAATAA